ATTAGCACCATTGCGACCATTAAGTGAAATGATAAACACCGATTTTCAAGGTAAGTTTGATTTTTACAAGATTTTTTTATTGATCAATTTAAAAATCAAAAAAATTTGCAAAAAAAAAAATCATGTGATTTGAAATTATTAGTTTTATTTTTAACTTTTAAATCTTTGTATTATTCTGCTTATCTTTTTGTTTAATATATGACCTTCTTTTATTCTTTTTTTTTTAATAAACAAAATCTTTAATTAAATATATTATTTAAAGAAAAAACACACACTTAACAAACAAACAATAATTAATTAGCAACAAAAGTAGTGAAATAATAAACTATTGATAAGAGTTACTTATTTAAAACTATTCACAAAAACTCCCCCATATTTACATTTAAATTTTTTATAATTTATTACCCCACATGTTTAACCAAACGTCTAGGAGAAATTATTAACAGAAAAGAAAAATAAATAAATAAAAAATATTATTTGTGCAAAATCACGTCATAGATGAGAAATCAAGGTAATTATTTTAGATTGTTTTGTTTAGATAATTAACATTTGCAAAAAAAATGGTAATTTATTGAAAATAATAATCATCATAATGACTGGTTTAAAAATAACACTAAATCAAGGCAAAAACTAAAAAATGTTAATGAAAAGTAACTTGAAATTAAAGAAAACTGCTTGATTAATGATTAAAAATAAAAAAATTTAATTCCCAAATGATTTTTAAAAATCCCCACTTAGGGAATTTTGGAAATCTTTTTGGGAATTAAGTTTTTTTTTTAAGGAATTTGAAAAATTTTGCCTAAAACTTTGTTGTTCGAGGTTAATTTTATAGAAATATGGAGAAAATTTTGAATTCCCAGGGAATTTTTCAAAAATCCCAACTGGGGAATGGGATTTTGTTAAAGAAATTTATTTTTTTATAATTTATAATGTGGAAGTGTTTTAAATTAATTTTTGTTTTAAAAATTATAAAAATTTTAATTCCCAAACGAATTTTTGAAAATCCCCTCTAAGGGAAATTTTTGATTTTAAATTGGGAATTCATTTTTTTGCCAGGAATATGAAAGATTTTGCTTAGAATTTCGTTCACACATCGCAAATTAGTAAATATATTACGGAAAATTTTTATTCCCAGGGAATTTTTCAAAATTCCCAACTGGGAAAGTGGATTGTGTTAAAAAAATTGAGTTTTTTGTATAATTTATAATGTGGAAGTGTTTTAAATTATGTTTTGTTTTTAAAAACATGAAAATTTTAGTTCCCAAATGGATTCTGAAAATCTCCTCTAAGGAAATTTTTTAGTTTGTGAATGGGAATTTACTTTTTTGGCAGAAATATGAAAGATTTTGCTTAGAACTTCATTCACACAACGAAAATTAGTAAGAATATTACGGAAAATTTCAATTCCCAGGGAAATTTTCAAAATTCCCAACTGGGGAAGTGGATTTTGTTAAAGAAATTTAAATTTTTTGTATAATTTGTAATGTTGAAGTGTTTTTAAATCAATTTTTGTTTTAAAAATGGTAAAAATTTAAATTCCCAAATGATTTTTGAAAATCCCCTCTAAGGGAAATTTTGGATTTTGCATTGGGAATGTATTTTTTTGCCAGGAATATGAAAGATTTTGCTTAGAATTTCATTCATACAATAAAAATTAGTAAATATATTACGGAAAATTTTAATTCCCAGGGAATTTTTTCAAAATTCCCAACTGGGGAAGTGGATTTTGTTAAAAAAAAATTGAGTTTTTTGTATAATTTATAATGTGGAAGTGTTTTTAAATTAAGTTTTGTTTTTAAAAACATGAAAATTTTAATTCCCAAATGGATTTTGAAAATCTCCTCTAAGGAAATTTTTTAGTTTGTGAATGGGAATTTACTTTTTTGGCACAAATATGAAAGATTTTGCTTAGAACTTCATTCACACAACGAAAATTAGTAAGAATATTACGGAAAATTTGAATTCCCAAGGAGTTTTTCAAAATTCCCAACTGGGGAAGTGGATTTTGTTAAAGAAATTTAAATTTTTTGTATAATTTGTAATGTTGAAGTGTTTTAAATCAATTTTTGTTTTATTTAAATCAATTTTTGTTTTATGATAAAAATTTAAATTCCCAAATGATTTATGAAAATCCCCTCTAAGGGAAATTTTTGGGTTTTGATTGGGAATTTACTTTTTTGACAGGATATGAAATATTTTGATTAGAATTTCATTCACACAACAAAAATTAGCAAGAATATTACGGAAAATTTTAATTCCCAGGGAATTTTTCAAAGTTCCCAACTGGGGAAGTGGAATTTGTTAAAGAAATTTAAATTTTTTGTATAATTTGTAATGTTGAAGTGTTTTAAATCAATTTTTGTTTTTAAAAATGATAAAAATTTTAATTCCCAAATGGATTTTGAAAATCCCCTCTAAGGGAAATTTTTATGTTTTGATTGGGAATTTACATTTTTTTAGAAATTTGAAAGATTTTGCCTAAAAAATTGTTGTTAAAGGGTAAATTAAGAAAAATATTGTGAAAAAGTCTGAATTCCTAGTGAAAAATTTAAAATTCCCAACTGGGGAAGTGGAATTTGTTAAAGAAATTTGAAATTTTTGTATAGTTAATAATGTGGAAGTGTTTAAAATTAAGTTTTGTTTTTAAAAACATAAAAATTTTAATTCCCAAATGGATTTTGAAAATCCCCTCTAAGGGAATTTTTTAATTTGTGAATGGGAATTAAAATTTTTGTAGAAATTTAAAAGATTTTGCTTAAAACTTATTGTTCAAGGGTAAATTTAGAAAAATATTGTGGAAAAATCTTAATTCCTAAAGAAATTTTCATAATTCCTAACTGGGGAAGTGGAATTTATTAAAGAAATTTGAAATTTTGAAATTTTTGTTAATGTAGAAGTGTTTTAATTAATATTTTGCTTCGAATTGCACAGAAATTTTAATTCCCAAACGATTTTTGAAAATCCCCAATTAGGGAATTTTTGAAAATTTTTTGGGAATTTATTTTTTTTTTAGAAATTGAAAAATATAAATAAGTTATGTGGTCTATTGCTATAATTTACACTTTTTTTAGCAGTTTTTCAAGCTTTTTCCACTTTATTTTGTGTTGAAAACTTTTGCATTGTTTCTTTGTGTTTGCTAATGGAAAATACTTTTCATAAAATTTTCATTATTGTTTGTTGTTATTGTCTGTAGTCTTTGTAAAGGTTTCATTTATAAAGAAAAATTTTCATTTTTTTTTTTCATTACCAGGAAAAAGAAAATTTTTCTTTTTTTATATTTTTATTTGTTTTTAAATAAAAAGAATTATTCATTTTCAGGTTTAAAACTTAAAAGTGAAATTTTGCGAAAAAAATGAAAATTTCTAGAGAAAAAAAATTGTGTAAATGAAATTTGTTGTCATTAATATTAAAATTTTTCCTAACATACTCTCCCACCAAACTACTGCCCCTGCTACCTCGCTTTATTAAAATACCCCCTAAAGCTTTTTTTTCGTTTTTTTCGTTTTTGACGTTTTTTTATCGCTGTTTAAAAAGTTTGTTTAATAATAGCAAGCACAAAAACTAATTAAATAAATTAATAACAATGTTAATAGCAACAACAGAAAAGTCATAAAATATTATATCGTAAATACAATTGATATTTGAAAAATCCATTAAACTCTTTTTATGTTCTTTTGATATCAGGTGATTTCGTTTTGCCAATTGGTAACAATTTAAAACTAAAAATTAAATAAAATTTCATACAGTTTTCATCGTTTTTCTTATATTTTTAAGGAAATTTAGAATTTTTTGACAAAACTTAAATTCCCAAAATCATATTAAAAAATTCCCTTAGAGGGGATTTTCCAAAAATCATTTGGGAATTAAAATTTTTAACACATTTCAAGCAGAATATTATTTAAATCAATTCTTTAACAACAAAAGTTCCAAATTTTAAAATTTCTTTAACAACAACCACTTCCCCAGTTGAGAATTTTGAAAATTTCCCTGGGAAAACAAATTTTCCCCAATATTTTTCTTAATTTTTCCTTAAACCACCAAGTTTTAGGCAAAATTTTACAAATTTTTACAAAAATATAAATTCCCAAACAAAAACCAAAAATTTCCTTAGAGGGGATTTTCAAGAAATCATTTGGGAATTAATTTTTTTATGATTTTAAAATCAAAAATAAATTTCAAACATCTTTACATTAACAAATATGTCAAAATTTTAAATTTCTTTAACAACAAGTACTTCCCCGGTTTTTTGGGAATTCATAATTTGATGGTGTTTAAGCTAAAATTAGTAAAATTATGTTTTTCTTTTTATGGAAATGGTGTTCACGGCTGGTGAAAGTTTTGTTCTAGACATTTTAATCGTTTAAATCAAGATTAAGTTTTTTTCTGATTGTTATTCTAACAAATATGACTCAATTGTCAGAGGGATTTCTTTATCATAATAATTGATAACATATATTTAACTTTTGGACACCTGTGTCAATGACTTTCTTAAAAAAAACAGACTAGAAAAGCCTTAAAATTATAACAAAAAACAATAATTAATTAAAAATTTCATAATTGAAACACCTGCCGGCAAAAGAATTGAACTAAAATGTTAAATAATTTCTCATAGATCTTGACAAATGTCTCTCTTCCTCTCTTCTTCATAATGTCTTTTTATATTTACATAATTATATTAAAATTATTATCAATATAAACTTTATCAGTTAAAAAAAAGTGTTCCTATATTCTGATCAATGATATGACGCAAATAACCTTTTGAATATAAAAGCAAATCATCTGATTTGTTTCAACATTTTTACGCATTCATTAAGAAATTTCTTGGAAATTTAGGAGAATCCCAAATATTTGAACCCCTATGAAGCTTATCAACGAAATAAACAAAAGCAAAAAAAAGCGGAAATATGCCCCTTTAAACATTTTATTAGCAAACACATAAAAACAACTTCCCCTCCCAACAAAACAATGGAAAATTTTGAGTTTTTTGCCCCGCAAACTAACAAAAAAATTAATTTTTTTTTTAAAAATTTAACATTTTTAGGCTTATTTTCATCAAATCTTTCAAATTTCTGCAACACAAATTAATTCCTAAAATCTTTCAAAAAATTCCCCAAGTGGGGGATTTTTAAAACTCATTTGGGAATTGATATTTAAATGCAATTCTTTGCAAAATATTAATTAAAATCATACTACATTAACAAAATTACAAAAATTTAAAATTTGTTTAACAAAATCTACTTCCCCAGTTGGGATTTTTAGAAAAATTTCTCAGGAATTCAAATTTTTCTTAAAATTTTGCTTAATTTAAACTTTACCAACAAAGTTTTATGCAAATTCTTCAAAATTCCTGCAAAAAATTAAATTCCCAACATTTTTCAAAATATTCCCCAAGTGGGGATTTTCAAAAACCATTTGGGAATTAAAATTTAAATGCAATTCGCTGAAAAATATTAATTAAAACAATTCTACATTAACAAAAATTCAAAAATTGTAAATTTGTTTAACAAAATCCACTTCCCCAGTTGGAATTTTCTTAGGAATTCAAATTTTCCTTAAAATTTTGCCTAATTTACACTTTTTCAATAAAAAGTTTTAGCCAAAATCCTTAAATTTCCTGCAAACATTTAAATTCGTAAATAGAAATTAAAAATTCCCTTAGTGGGGATTTTCAAAAATCATTTGGGAATTGAAATTTAAATGCAATTCGCTGCCAAATAATTATGAAAACAGTTCTACATTAACAAACATAAAAAAAGTTTAAATTTGTTTAACAAAATCTATTTCCCCAGTTAGGATTTTTAAAAAATTTCCCCTAGAAAAATAAAATTTTTTAACAACATTTTTTCAAATTAATACTCTGTCATTATAGATTTATGCAATACTTCAAAATTCCTGCAAGAAATGAAATCACTAAATTCATTCAAAAAAATTCCCCAAGTGGGGATTTTCAAAACTCATTTGGGAATTAAAAATTTTATGCAATTCGCTGCAAAATATTAATTAAAACAATTCCACATTAACAAAAATACAAACATTTAAAATTTTTTTAACAAAATCTTCTTCCCCATTTGGAATTTTTTGAAAAAATTCTAGGAATTTAAATTTTTCTAAAAATTTTTCTTAATTTCCATTTTTCCAATAAAGTTTTAGCCAAAATCTTTAAATTTTCTGCAAAAAAATTAAATTCCCAAAATTTTTAAAAAACATTCCCCACTTGGGGATTTTCAAAACTCATTTGGGAATTGAAATTTAAATGCAATTCGCTGCCAAATATTAATTAAAATCATTC